CGGACAACAATCATTTGGGGGACATGACAGGTAGAAAGTTGTGTTTATTTGAAGGTGAAAATACTCTTATAGTGCTTCATGTTTGGCAGATAAATCGTTATATCACAGGAACGCTGGATTAAAACCGGGAAAATGTATTTTTCATTTCATGGTGACTTTAACAACAACAAACATGTCCTTTAAATATCTCTCTTTGTCTCTCCCTGCAGTACGACATCATCGACCTCGAGGTAAGGCGATTTGTACACAGAATTTATTCTCATCTAATTCTAGTATTTGTACTTCCTGGTCTCTATCTATATCAGGACAAAGTGCTCTTTTTCTTATACTATGAAGATGAGGAAATGATCTAAAATCACTTCAAACAGATTGTTTTACATTTTGGTTTCCAGTGAACCTCATAGTTGCAAGGTTTGTGAATGTTTTTGTATTAGATCAATTGTGTTACATTTAATGTTTTTGACCTTAAGGGCCACCATACACCATTTGTAACTGTACGCTAAATGAAGCCTACCATTGAATAGATTTGGATCTGTTTGAGGCTGGAATTAAAGGTTGTCATACTTTAGGCTTTGAGCTTTATTGAAAGTGTGTGGCTCAGTTTCTTCTGTCATCTTGTTGTAAAGAAGCTGAAAAAGAAAACACAACGAAGAGAACAATAGCATACTTTTATTGCCTTGCATTTAACAGGACCCTAATAGCAACAAGATTGGACAGTGGTTGAAAGAAACATCCAATGGCGAAATATTGCAGCTGTCCTTCTCCTTGAACGCTGAGGCCCGTGAAGGAATCTATAACATCATTGTGTCAATTGGGAAAAACAAAATTTATCGGAACTTCAAGGTTGAGAAATACGGTAAGTTGTGGGTAATTAGTTTTTCTCCCATTGCAATACATTTTTTAATAAAGCGACATTCTAACAATGCAAACAATTATTGTTTGTCTGCAGTTTTGCCTAAATTTGAAGTAAATATAAAGGCACCCGATAAAGTCAGTATTGGGCAGGAAGAAATCGAAGTTAAAGTTTGTGCACAGTAAGTCAAATCTCTGTCACTCCTCACACTCTTCAATAATCTAAAATAGTTTCACTTTGGGAAGAAACTGTTGAAAAACATTCTTAATAATTTTCTCCATCTCTTCAGGTACACATACAAACAGTCTGTGCCAGGCCTTATTACAGCTGAGATGTGCAGACCTCTTTATCGGTATATCAGGGAAACAGAGGATATAAAGCCCCCTTGCTTCGTGGAGACAATGGAGGTACAGTTGCCATAGTGACATGCTCATCCCCCTGCTGCCAAACCTTTTTTTCAATATTTTTTTATATCATGTACTGTATCATATTTTCTTTTAGGCGGATGAGTCAGGATGTGCCACTTTTTTCTTTGAGATGTCCACTTTCAAAAAAATTGTAAAAGTGGTGCAGGCGTCGCTGCTGCTCAGTGCCAAAGTGGAGGAGGAGGAAACAGGCAAGACTATGACTTCAACAACATTAATATTTTGAAAAGAGTTATACAATACAGGTAGATATCACAAAGTATAAAAAGAGTTGTAACACGCTGGCCTCTTTTTCAGGAATAACACATCAACAAGAGAAGAGGATTCAGATTTCCTTTGTTATCGGAAAGCTGATATTTATTGACACACCAAAGGTTTACGCGATGGGATCAGACGTGGAAGGAAAAGTAAGTATGATTCTCAACATCATACAGGAGAGGTTTCTTCTGGAAAAGAATGATCCAGATTTGGAAATCCTTTTTTCTATCCGAGATCAGGTAATCCAGGTTACTTTGGCCAGAATTTAAATTAATTAGGACTTTCTAATATATACTTTGTCCACACGGGGACGCCAAAATCCACACAAACAGAGAGAGCCCGACAGTTGCTCTTTATCAAATATCTTTTGTTTAATATTGAAGCAAAATGGATTTTTTTTAACAACTCCAATGTCTACCTCATCGGCTATGTCATAGTAACAATCAAGCAATTCAAGAGCAAAATCTTTTTTCAAAAGTCTACTGGTATATCAGCATCATTGTAAAAATGCTTTGTGAATTCTGTTCAACTAAGTCATATGTTTTATTACATCTTGTTCCTGTAGCCAGAATCCAGCTCTCTGCTGGGATCACAATATTTCAGAGTTTTTTGGATCAAAGTTATCCAAGTCTGATTCAAAATGATTGAACAACACAAACTAACATTTCATCAGTAATGTGATTTATATTACTGTAGTCACTCACTGCGTGGTAAGGCTATTGTTAGCCCGTTAGCGCTCGTTATCAGAGCAGCTTGTGCTTTGTCGCTCTGCTCCACACACACACACACACACACCTGCACACACACACACTCTACTCCTGCTCTCTGACTGGCAGCGCACACATTTCTCCGCTCTGCTGTTTGTATTTTAACGGAAAGATTAGACGCACAGTGGGGGGAAAAATGGATCTTGACAGTGAGACAGAAGACCTCTAGCATTTGAGTCCCATCTTGAAAAAACCATACTCATATGTCATCAGAATTATTTTTTTGATCAAATTTCTATTTTGAATGAGTCAATTTGTCATCTTTGCTGTGGAATAAAAACAGTTTATAATCATATTTTTTGTTAAAGAAATTAACACTTTCTTGTTATACCTGATGTCATCTTATTACAATTTTTTTCACAACCTTTCTAGAAGATTTGATACAAAGGATTGCTTTAAAGGTCACGTATTATTCTGCTTTTCAAAAAGTTTAAAGAAGTCTCAGAGGTTCTCAAAATATGTAAATGAAATTTCTTGTTCTAAATACACTCTGATCCTATATTTTACCATTCCTATTAACACCTCTATTTCAGCCCTGCCCAGAACAGGCTGTTTCTGTGTCTGTAGCTTTAAATGTAAATGAGGTGTATTTGACCACGCCCCCTCTCTGGAAGGTGATGTGGTGTCTTGGGCTTTCCTGCAACATGCCCATTTGTTAACAGTGGAAAGGCAGACTCAGAGGACAGAACAAACACCTGACGTGGGTGTGTCACCATCATGGGGGAGGGGTTACTCCCCTCTGTGATGTCACAAAAGGAAAATCTCCAAACATCGTGTTTGCACACACATTTTTTGAAAAGTGGAGCAGGCAAAAGACGGAGAGGATGAATTTTTCTCATAATTGTTTTTTTAGACAGGCTAGAGACACATACGTATTGGTGTTTTTGAAAAACATGGCAAAGTGTTTTTTTGCATTATACTGTATGTGACCTTTAATGCCATCAGATTACTTTTAAACAGCTGCTGTCTATAGTCCCTTTTTAACATGACTACTTAAGAAAAGTTGAAGTTCTTCTATAGGGGCTAGACATTTGGACTGCTAACCAACAGAGTATTAATTGGCTATATATCCATGATCTTTTATCAATGAAACAATATAAACACCATTTAATATTTTGGAAGACATCTTTTATTTTTTTAAATGTCGTACTTTTATCATGATTCTAATATTTCTTGAACACTTAATGGGCTGGATTGATGTTTTCAGAGAGCCTGATTGAGTCCATAGGTACTCTGAAGTATTGTGCAGCCTCAGTGATATGCCTCTGTGCTTCTAACAGATCAAAGCAGTTGATTACGACGATACACCCATTCCTGACATGCCGGTGTACCTCTTTGAGGGTGAAATTAGGTCGGAACAACTCAAACAGACTCTCACAACTAACTTTGATGGAGTCGCAGATTTCACATTCAGCACAGATGGATATAACGGTGACATCTACCTCAGTGTAAGTATAAATACAACACTTGATTTTTCTAATCACGATTATTTGTAATACAGTAGTGGTGGCTCTCCAAAGCTTCCTGAACCCTCATGAGCTAATTTGTAGTGTTTCTTCTTCTGCAATGTAGCCAAGTAACAAACCTGTGAGGAGACCACCTTACAATGTTGAAGAGGGATACTTTGAGCTATTACAACACAAGATTTCCATGATCCGGGACGTTTCTGTGGATAGTAAAACAGTGAGCTCCCTGGAGGTGCAGAAGAAGGAGAAGCCAATTCCCTGTGACACAGTGGAAAAAATTTCCGTCAAATTCACCATAGTGGGAGAGAGACAAGGCACTGCAACTTTTATTTACGTGGTAAGTGATGGATGTTCTCTCAGGGAAGATGTTTTGAAAATGATTTTTACATCAGATTATTTACACCTGTTTTCAAGGTTTACTTTAGTGCCTTTCGTTTATATTTCTGTCAAGAACAATTTGATATTTTTTCAAGGGCATGGAATTACAATTTTAAACATGATTTGTCGCTTGCATTTTTTACTAATTACTAATTACATTTTGCACACAATGCTCTGACCTCAAGATAGGGATCAATTCAGAGGTCAATATGAACTCTGGAATTCTATTGATTTTGAGATTTGGCAGCAAAAAACAGAGAGCAGAGCATTAAATCTGGGGTAGATAGCTCACAGAACGCAAGAAGGGGTGACGCTGTCCAGAGGAAATCTGCACAAGCAACCAGGGTGGGATTTGATTGAGAGGCTGATTTATATCTTCTTTTTTCATTATTAGTGTTGGTTTAGTCAAGTTAGAGACCTTAAAGATAGCTAAGTTGTGGTGCGTCCCACTCTCTCCCCCAACATGTCCTGTATCTCTTCAGCTGTACATTCAATTATTGCAAAAATATTGCCCAAATAACTTAAAGACTACTTAAGAAATGAGGTTTTACCACTGCATTACTCATTCTCTGATCTCATTCTCAGGTCTTAGCCAGAGGAGCCATCGTCAAGCAAGGATATGGCAAGATTGAAGTGCAAGATCAAACAGGTTGATAGCAAATGATTTTTAGGCTGGCTACACACTAGACAATTTTCTAGATTTCAAAAAACATGGGAGACCACAGACACAAGGACAGTTTCAACTGTTTTTTAATGATCGTCTGATCACACACATTTATGTAATGTGTCTATGTTTTTATTTTGGAATAATATTACCAGGAAAGATCATCACTAATATGTGCTATAATAGCCAGATAACAGTACACTTCAGTGTCACCAGCAGGAGGCAGTGTGGCGCTGGGCTTCTCCCATGCATGGACTCTCTTTGTTACGGGACTCTCGTTTCTTCCTCATTCTACCGAGTCAAGCTGAACTGAAAAGAAGCACAGTTGCCTGTCTCATTCTTTTCTTCTGTTATACAGAAATTCTCATCTGCTTATGGGATCTCATTTTGAGACCTGTAACAGATTTGTGGGGGCTCATCCGGGATCGGCATCACCTGAGTAACAGCATACTGATCCAGTGATCTTTCTACCCAGGAGTGCCAGGCTGACGACGTGTGGCTGGAAGGAAAGGGGATTTGCAGTAGGCAGCTCAAGAGGTGAAAGGACCAGGTTATAGGGGTCCAAGCCTAAGGAGTGCAGCACTGTTAACCCACCAGACTACAGCACACAACATGTCTGACAACAAGAGAAAGAAACGTATTTGGTCCATTAGAAAAAGACTTCATCAGTTAAGAGCAGATGAGGCATATGAAATCGCCATTCACCTTGATCCAGTCAAAGGACTTGACTCGGCTGAGTTGAGCAGAGATGATGAAGAGAGCTGTGTTGAGTACATATCTGCTTATATGAACAGCCAAGAACTTGTCGGATTGGAAGATGAGGGTATGACCACGCTATTCCTCAAGTTAGCATCGAGGGTGAAATTAGTAGTCCGGTCAGGTCAACTCAATGGTCACCAGCTACTGCTAATGTTAAAACACCTGGGTCAGACAGCCTACATCCCTCTATAAGAAGAGGTAACCTCAATAGCCTGCACACATCCAACCCACCTGTCAGTCACCCATCATCTTCTCACTCACCTCAACTGGCTGCAGAAGAGCCACCTGTCCTCATTAGAGAGAGTCCTTCGAGATCTTCCACTGCTTCAAAGAAAATAGTTCAAGATACATGAAGGACAGATCAGTGACACGACAGCAGACATTAGTTTTAACAGCATGTGCAAGCAGATCCAGGAAGGACGCAGAGAACAACATTCTGACGATGAGATCATTAAAGGGGTCCTGCAAATTATCAAGAGTGGAAATTTTAGAGATATGCTGACAAACAAAGAAGATCTTACAGTCGCCGAGCTGGAAAGTTTCCTACAGTCCCATCTTGTGGAGAGGAGTTGTACAGAGCTCTTCCAAGAACTGTTGTGTGCTCGGCAGCTTATCAATGAAGCTCCACAGCAGTTTATTTATCGTATAATCGGGCTGAAGCAAAAGATAATGTTTACATCCAAACAGACCAATTCATTAATCAAGTATGATGCTTCTACACTCCAGGGTGTTTTCCTGAATGCTGTCTACCAAGGCATGGGAGAGAGACATGAGGATGTCAGACGAGAGCTGAAACCACTCCTTGCTGATCCGACTGTTTCTGATGAAGCTCTGTTGAGACAGGTCATTCAGACGCCAATGGAAGAAAGTGAGAGAAAGCGCAGACTGGGATGCAGCTCCAGCCGCAAAGTGACACAAGCTCACAGCAACCTTGATGAATCTGCAGAAACAAACAGTAGCATGGGTGAGACCAAAGCAAAAGGTAAAGACAATGTTATCCAGAGACTAAGTGCCCAAGTAGAGGCTTTAACACAGGCAATGGAGGCCCTGAAAAAGTTAACCATACAGCACCAGCTGCCAGTCCACCAGCCTGGTTCTGATAGAACTAGACCAGAGAGAAAGACACCTAGACAATATGGATGTCCACAATGTGTAGCTCAAGCTAAACCAAACTGCAGCCACTGCTTTTCCTGTGGAGAAGAAGGCCATCGAGCTATAGGTTGCACAAGAAAACACAAACAGTAGGGAAACAGGCATCGGTCAGGACAGAGGGACAACCCTTGACCGACTCAAAAGACAAGTCCCAACCCAAAAGTGGAGCAGAATTAAGACCACAAAAAGATGATAAAAATTCCAAACCACAGACAAAATGTCAACTGTATCATCTGAGAAGATCGCTCCCGTGATTGGTAGAAAATCCCTGTTGAAATGTAACATGAATGGTTATGCTATAACTGCATTACTAGACTTGCCCTTTAAGTCAACTAATGGAGGAAAGTCTCAGTGTGACAGCTGTAACAGGTGATGAGATACCCTACGACGGATATGTAGAAGTAGTTGTAAACCTGCAAGGCAACGATGATCCAGACTTAACCATTCGAATACGCTTCCTGGTGAGTCGACTCAAACTAGAAAGACCATTAGTTGGTTTTAATGTCATCCAGGAACTCATTAAGAGTAATGAGAGCAGACCTAAAGTAATATTCATCCTTGTTAGCTTACTTACCGGAGCTTTGTCCATCGACAGTGCAAAGGCAGAAGCCATAGTGAGTGAGAAATCACTATTTATCCTGGTCAAATAGCTTACATTAAGTGCAGAGTGCCAGTAGATATCAGTGACTCCAACTCACTTGTATTATTTGAGCCCAAATTAGAAACCACACCACTGGCACCCCTGAACATTGGTGAGGGGTTAATGGAGATTCAACAAACCAACAGACCTTGTGTAAAAGTGCCTGTGTCAAACCATTCCAAAAACACTGTGACCCTGCCCAGCTCAACTGTCCTTGGCACCATTGAAGCAATTGATAAAGTGGTAGAGACAGACAAGACAAACAATGAGCACAACCAGGCTCAGGTCAACATTGCAAGTTCCTCACCTTCCCAAAACATGAACAACACTCTGTGGCACCCACCAGTGGATGTTAGTCATCAAAGTGAGGAACAACAGAAGGAAGCTAAGCAAATACTGTATGAGGAGTCAGGAGCTTCTGCTCGAGACGAAGGGGACATTGGGTGTATCCCAAGCCTGAATTTGGAGATCAACCTCAAGGATAACATCCCAGTCCAGCGTGCGTATGCTTCTGTGCCCAAACCCCTTTACAAAGAGGTTAAAGAATACATACAAGACCTGCTTGCAAAAGGGTGGACAATTAAATCAAAGTCCCCTTATGCAGCGCCTGTGGTCTGTGTCAGAAAAATACATGGATCCTTAAGGTTGTGTATTGATTACAGACTCTTAAACCAGAAAACAGTGCCTGACCGCCATCCACTACCTCGCATCCAGGACCTCATCGACACTCTAGGAGGTCACAGCTGGTTCACCATCCTAGACCAGGGTAAGGCTTATCACCAGGGCTACATAGCTGAAGGATCCAGACACATGACAGCATTCATCACTCCTTGGGGACTGTATGAGTGGGTGAGGATACCATTCGGGCTCTCCAATGCTCCTGCAGCTTTTCAGCGAAGCATGGAGGAGATGTTGGACTCCCTGCGTGACAACTGCTGTATTCCTTACCTTATTGACATAGTCTGCTACTCCAAAACGTTTGCTGAGCATGTTGAAGGAGTAGGTCGAGTCCTGAAAGCGCTGCAGGCCCATGGTGTCAAGCTGCGACCAACAAAATGTGAACTGTTCCAGCGAGAGGTCAGGTACGTGGGGAGGCTGGTCTCAGCTGATGGTGTCAGGATTGACCCAAAAGACATTGACGCTATTATGTCATTAAAAGACAAAAGGCCCAGCACAGTGGGTGAAGTGCGAAAGCTTCTGGGGTTCCTGAGCTACTATAAAGCGTACATTCAGAGCTTCAAGCCCATTTACGAGCTTTTGAAAGTCAATGGAAACTCTAATGAGGTACAGGGGAACCCTAAGAAAGGAAAAGGAGCTCAGTTACCTTCGCGGACACCTGTCCAGTGGACCTGTGAACACCAGAGAATTCTTGAGCAACTGATTGACACCCTCTCACACCCACCTGTACTAGCCTATCCAGACTTTGAACTACCATTTGTCCTCCACACTGATGCCTCAGAGCAGGGACTTGGCGCAGTGTTATATCAGAGACAGGACGGCAAGATGAGAGCCGTTGCCTTTGGATCAAGAACTTTGTCCCCTGCAGAGAAGAATTACAACCTGCACTCAGGTAAACTTGAGTTTCTTGCTCTGAAGTGGGCAGTTTGTGAAAAGTTTCGGGATTATTTGTTCTATGCACCTCATTTCACGATCTACACAGACAATAATCCACTCACATACATGGTTAGCACTGCAAAACTGAACGCAGTTGGTCACCGCTGGGTAGGTGAACATGCTGACTTCAGATTTGATGTTAAGTACAGACTAAGAAAAGGCAAATGTCGACGCTGATACACTCTCTCGACTTCCATTAGACATTGATACCTATGTCAACGAGTGCACTTACAAGAGGAGCTTACAAAAGACACCATTCAAGCTGCATGGGAAGGTTGTGAGGCTGCAAAGGGACAAGATATTGCCTATGTTGCTGCACTTAACCTGATATCACAATCAGAGCCGTCTTTGAACACATCACCACTTACTATTGCACACAGCGAGTTAGTCAAGTCTCAAAGAGCAGATTCTGCTATTGGTGAGCTGATCAAACTGAAAGAAACAAGACCAATACTGACAAATGAGGACAAAAGGCGAGCCAGTGGGCCTACGAGAAGGTTGATGCATGAGTGGGGAAAGTTGCATGTGGAAAATCAACTATTGTATCGGACAGCAGGTCAGCGAAAACAGCTTGTTTTACCATCAGAACACTGCAGCCTTGTACTTAAGCATCTCTATGATGACATGGGACACATGGGAGCTGAGAGAGTCATTCATCTGGCTAGAGACCGTTTCTACTGGCCTTACATGAAAAGAGACATTGAGACATATGTGACAAGAAAGTGCCCTTGCATCAAACAGAAAAAACCTGTCACTCATGTCAGAGCACCGATGGGAAGTATCACAACATGTGCACCACTCAAACTTGTTTCCATAGACTACATGCACCTGGAAACAAGCAAAGGAGGCTATGAATACATCTTAGTATTTATAGACCACTTTACCCGGTTTGCTCAAGTGTATCCTACAAGAAACAAGTCAGGCAGAACTGCTGCAGAGAAAATATTCAATGACTTCATCCCTCGCTTTGGCTGCCCGGCAAAGTTACACCACGACGAGAAACTTAACTGGAGTTGCTCACTCCAGAACAACCTCTTATCATCCTCAGGACAACCCAGCAGAAAGTTTTAATAGAACGTTGCTTCAAATGTTAAGAACACTGGAAGAGAAGGAAAAGAGCAACTGGAAAGAACATTTACCCCTGGTGGTGCATGCGTACAACTGCATCAGACATGAGGCAACAGGCTTCTCACCTCACTATCTCATGTTTGGCCAACATCCCTGTCTTCCAGTCAACTTAATGTTTGGCTTGTCAGCTAAAGACCAACCTGGAAAACCACAAGACTATGCCAAGAAATGGGCTTTGAGAATGAAAGAGGCTTACCAACTAGCAGGTGAGAACAGCAAAAACTCAAGTGAAAGAGGAAAAAAATACTATGACCGACACATCAAGGGAGTTGTACTCCAACCTGGTGATAGAGTCTTAGTCTGCAACATGAGTGAAAGAGGAGGGCCAGGAAAGTTAAGATCCTATTGGGAACAAACTGTGTATGTTGTCAAAGAGAAAGTGAACGACAATCCCATTTACAAAGTGCTCCCGGAGCAGGGTAATGGTAAGAGTCGTGTCCTGCACAGAAACCTCCTACATGTTGTAAATGACCTGCCTGCAAACTTACCTGACCAACAAAAGAGTCCATCACCAGCTACAGGAAAACATAAGCAAAAGAGTCATCACATGTGGGAACAAAAACAGAGAGAAATGCAAAGCAGTGAATCTGAAAGCTCTGACAATGAAACACCCAGAGTGCAATACTGGTTAAGAGTACCACCACGACGTGAACCTCAAACCCAAAATGTAACACCTACCTGTGATTCCAAGAGAAACCCAGATAGCTTACAAAGGTTGCCTGAATCACACAGAAACACATCGTCAAGAGGCCACACACATGAGCAGCCACAAAGAATCTCACCCGAAAGAGAAACCAGACGAGAGCAATAAGCACAACACACTGATGAGGAAATCCAACCTGAGAACCCTGAACAGCCAGTTGAGCAGGAGTACAATCAGGATATTCATGATGATCAAAATGATGGACAAGTGATGCTGAAGGATGAATTAATCAGAAAATCTGCACGGGACAGGAGACCTCCCCAGTTGCTGACATATGAGTCTCTTGGCCAACCCTCCAACCAACCACATCGACAGATGTGGGCAGCTGGACTTAATGTCGTGCAAGCCCTGCCTGGTTGGGGTATGCAGAACTATCCCTTGCATCATTATAACACTTACCAGACATCGCCTTGCACTGTAATGATGCCATACACATACTCATATTAAAGTGCACTTACACACTCACTCACACATATTACTGACCTAAGTTTAAGAAGTGTTTTATTCTGATGAGTAGATTTAAGTAGGAAAAAGTAAGAAAGAGTTTCAGTGTTTGTTTGAAATGTCAGGAGCCATTTTTCTTTGTCAGGGAGCATGTGAGCCCACAAAATGTGTCGTCACATTTTATGTAATGTGTCTATGTTTTTATTTTGGAATAATATTACCAGGAAAGATCATCACTAATATGTGCTATAATAGCCAGATAATGGTCCACTTCAGTGTCACCAGCAGGAGGCAGTGTGGCGCTGGGCTTCTCCCATACATGGACTCTCTTTGTTACGGGACTCTGAACTGAAAAGAAGCACAGTTGCCTGTCTCATTCTTTTCTTCTGTTATACAGAAATTCTCATCTGCTTATGGGATCTCATTTTGAGACCTGTTACACTTGCATGAGACATTATAAAGGAACTTGTATTGTTGCCATAATTTCACAAGCTGATCTCCTTTTTAATATTCCATTTGGCTCGGGTGCCAGGCGTGTTTGTGTTCACTGCCAGGTTTCTGAGTTGTGAAAGTACACGCAACATCTGGTTGGTGACAAACCCAGTCTGCTTGCTTTTAATTGGCTATTACCCAATTCTGTCGGAGAAAGCCCAAACTCTAATCGTGAATATTTATGATATTTATGAAATCGTCTAGTGTTTAGCCAGCCTTAGAAAGCCTACCCTCAAAGTTGATTGGTTAACTGCTTTTTTTTCCATCTCTTAAGTGATTTGAAATATAAGTTAACACTTTACAATGAGGTACACAAATGTTACATAGTTAGTGGGAAACACTAAGTAATGGGTAGATATTGAGTACTTCTTCATCACATGTTCTAGATAATGATTATTTGACAGATAATGAATGTAATGGTTCGGTAATGCCTCAGTACTGAGTAACTAGTAGTTGTTACCTGGTGGTTAGTTTCCCATTTGTTTCACACTAACTATGCAAAATGTGTGCACCTTTTTGTAAACTGTAAGCAAAAATGATTCTTGTCCATTAAAAAGTCTGTTTCACTGTTTTTAGTGACTCAGGGCAAGATGTCTATTAACATCAGAGTGTCCCCTGAGATGTCCCCAGACGTCCAGCTTGTGGCTTACACTGTCCTCCCCAGTGAGATGGTGATCGCCCATAGTGCTGACTTCTCCACTGAGAAATGCTTCAGGCACAAGGTCAGCGTTATGTCTCACAGACTTTCTGTTTGTTATAATAGTTGTTGTGTACCACTGACAGTATTTCTTTGTGTCAGGTGTCGCTGGAGTTTTTTCCGTCCTCAGCTGTCCCAGGAGAGGGAAACACCCTGCAGGTGACGGCCCAGCCGAACTCTCTGTGTGGTGTGAGCATTGTCGACCAGAGCGTCCTCATCAAGGAGCCTGGGAAAAGTCTTGACAGCAACAGGGTAATGGCTGGACAACTTATACTGTAGATGCATAATGCTTGATGACATCCGCATGATCTTTTGGACAAATTAACATAATCGGTCACCCAGTTTCAGTTCTATTCAATGACAATTTCTTCTTTTTCTCCAATGCACTGTGTTGCACCAGCTATTAATAAGTTCAATCGTAGTCTACTTTTGAAATAATTCCTAATTGAGAAATTACGGAGTTTGCGCTACATTTAAGGTGTTGCACCAGCTGAGATCGTTCCAACATAGTCAAAAGTTACACCTACTGTATCTCCTAGTAAGTGGAAAGTGGGATAACTTAAAGAATGAGGTGGAGCAGAGGGTTTTACCAGCTGTTTGGTGTTAGCTGTGTGTTCTCTGTGATAGAGTACATCCCTGTTTGTTTGGCTAGTTAGGGTAGGTGATTTGTGGGGATTTGTTTCCTCACAAATTGGGGATGTTGCAGTTTTGCATTAGATTGAGATTTAAGAAAAAACCCCTGTAGTAAACATTCTAGTTTGCCCTTCGAAATCTACCTTTCATCAGAGATGTGGAGTCCCCCACCATTTACATCACAAAAACATAATGCAGATTTTAAGCTTTAACTAAACCTTTCTTTTTTCAGATATTTGACTTGTTGCCCATCACAAAGGCATCCTATATTCCCTTTGAAGTTCTGGATACTATAGAGTGCTTGGTTGTGAGGCCTAAAAGACGCATTTGGCCCCGTCCTGATGTGACAGATGACCCTTACACCGTTTTCACGGTATTTAATGCACTAAAATGAACACATAATATCAAGAATACATATTTCAACATACTGCACATCTTATTTGTATATCTTTTTTTTGTGACACCTTCATGTTGTCTGATTATGTAGAATGTAGGGCTGAAGATGGCGACAAACTTGGGTGTCCGAGTCCCTTCATGTCTCCAATACGGAGGAAGGAAATACGTCCCTGATCGAGGTGATTTATTTATATATTGTTAAAACAGCACACCACTGCCCTCTTTTGACAGAGTATTTTCTGGTGTCTTTACAGATGTTAGAAAAAAAGAGGTAGTTATACGCACATCATGTAGGTGCAGGTCCGTGTATAAACAGCCACATCTTCTCTTCCACAAATCCTTTTTTAAAAATACATGAACACGTGAAAATGATACGTAGATGACATTTGTATATTATACAAGGGTCCTGTCGACATTTTATTACAATTTTCTGACTACCTTAATAACTGTCATGAACATTTGAAGATCACCATGTGTCATGATGAGGACAAAAGTAGCTTCCTGGACACCCTGGTGAAGGCAGAACATTGAAACAGACTCATACGGGAAAGACACTGACAAATGTTCTTTCGTACACGGACAATCTTTCCATCCAGTCCATCTGAAAAAAATCTTCCAATTAGTCAGTTTAGCCGCATCAGACAGATCTACACAAAAGAAACAGACAAACTCGAACACAGATTTAAACAACGACTGCTGGGTAAAAGCAGCCAGAGACAGGTACAGCAGGTTTACTCGGGATGTGTGTCTTATTAAGAAAGAAAATAACCCCAAAGGTACCAGCCTTAAATGCTCTTTAAATTACTCCCCTATGGGAAAATATTTTGTAACCACAATAAGAAAACACTGGCATATTTAAAACTCTGATCCATTATTAAAGGATGAGTTCAGGGATGCACCAAAAGTGATAAACAAACACCACCCAAAAATCAAGTTGGATCTCATCCAAATCAAAAGCACTACTCTCCTTGAAACTCGACACGGTAATTATCACAAAGTGCATTTTCACTTATGATTGCACTACATACAATCACTCTACTACTGTTTAAACTTGGCTGCACATCTTTATATAATAATGAAAATATATCTAAAATAGATAAATTAGAACCTGTAAACATTATGAACAGCTGGACTTAAATAATCAAGTCAGATGTGTTGACTGAACTTTACATATTAATTCTGTATGTTTTTTTGTTTTTTTTATGGTTTTATAGATGTGTTTCATTATTTATAGATGTGGGACATTTTGAATATCTATAAATATGGTGTGTGGCCTCCCTTCCTTTGTTAAAAAATGATCACCGAAACATTGTGATGAATCAAAACTTTTTGTGGCATTTGAGCAATTGTGTGTGCTCTTCCTCAGGTGTTTTCAAGAGGCGTCGATTGAGGTTACCACTTGCTGAGGCTTCTGGAGGAACGCTTCCACCACCAATAGTGACAGTCCGTACTTTCTTCCCAGAGACTTGGATATGGGATCTGATAGAAATTGGGTGAGCTCAGTTTTAAAAACACTTCACAAATGTTTTTTTTATTGTTATGAAATGGGGGGGGGGGGACACTTTTGACCATTATACAGAACATGGGACACTTTTTCAATCTCTTTCATTTACATATACTGTATCTAGAAGATAATCCTTCCCCTTAGCCCCCTGTAGGATGAAAGTCTACAAAAGTACTGACAGCTTTGTGTATTTTTAAAGTGACTGGGTCAAAAATACTGCCGTAGAAGGGCAAGAACTTCATCATCATCCAAGCATAGGCGAGTGCTTATTAGCTAACATTAGCTAGTTAATGTTAGCTAACGATAGTATCAGGACCCCTGTCCCCTCTCACTATCAGTGATTTGGGGCAGTACTGTTAGTTAAAAGGCAGTAATATTTGGATCAAGTTAACACAATATTTTATGGCAGGATTAGAGGAAGTCTGTTCTTTTTTTCCCTGACAGCGGAGCGTCTAACATCATTAATCCACAATATGTACCTCTGGGTTTTCTTACTCAGATTACATTTTGTAGAAGTCCAACCTGGTCTTGTTTTTTCATTGGTTACTGCATCACTTTCAACACTAGTAAATGTCTTTAGTTTAAAAAATAAAACTGGTCAAAACGTGTAGGTAGCAACTGAAGCCTTCTTGCCTGCCAGTGTGGGACGTCATTAGAGCTTTGAAAACCCAATGTAAATATATTGTGGAGCAAAGACTTCTTTCATAGTATCTTATGGCAGCAAATACTGACAACGAAAAGCATTCAGCTAAACAAATTATGGGGGGTTAATATGACATGAGTTTAAGACAGATGAACAAGTGGAGTGGAGAATATCAGGTGAGTCCATTATATCTGGGGAGAGGTGTATGGTTGAGAAAGGAGGAAGAACGTGGGCCTCTGTTTGAGAGGATGAGATACACAAGACCTTTGGAAGCTGAATGTGACTGTGGATGAGAAAAAGGGAGACGGACTGTTACAACACTGTTTTTGTGTTCCTGCCGATAAACAGAGAGACTGGTACCAAGAATGTGCCCCTCACTGTTCCTGACACCATCACCACCTGGGAGACGGAGGCTTTCTGTTTGTCCTCTCAGGGTTTTGGTTTAGCTCCTCGTAAAGAGCTCACCGTCTTCCAGCCTTTCTTCCTGGAGCTCAGCCTGCCTTACTCCATCATCCGAGGCGAGAACTTTGAGCTGAAGGCGACCGTCTTCAACTACCTGTCCAGCTGCATCATGGTAATGAATGTTTTTATGATCTAATAGCTAATGTCAGCAAATAACTGCTCAAAGCTGAAACTAATACGAATGAAGTAATTGTCTTTATTTTATGTGACTTACGGTTGCAGAACATAACTTGATTGGTTGAAATGTAAGCTTAACTAAAAAACAGAAATGGTTTTATCAGAATATTTCTGTCTCAGTAGAACACAAGAGCAAGCTCTCCCTTCAACCAAACACAATTAAACCCCGCAAAGGATAAACACAAGTGACTCACGTTCAAACTGTCTTTATATGCCTTTTCTATACTTATATTTTCTATTCTATATTTCGGGCAGTTTGCAAACAGAACTTTTGATGGATCGTTTGAACCCATAAACTAAAATTGTGCATGCTTTAAATGGTGTAAGTGGTGGACGAGTCCGCTTTCTCTTTATTGAGAAAGTTTGCCTTTCTATGATTTCTGTTGTTCGACGGAGCAACATTATCAACAAACGTGCGGAGAGGAACATACTGGAGAACAAAAAAGATGTATTGCAGCTGTTTAATTACGTGCACAGAGATTCTAGCACAGGTCACAGGATATAAACATCACCCCCACACCTTCTCACTAATTCAAGGAGAATTCTCCAGATTATATCCTTCTGTATTCTCACTTCAGCTCACTCAGACTTAAAGTGGAAAAAACACTAGGGGGATGGCAGAAGAAACTCCTGTTAGAGTCTGAGTGAAAAATGTGTCTGTTTGCGTTCACACATACAGCTTCTCCTGGAAATTTCAGGAGTTTTTGAGGAGTTTTCTGCAAATGTGAAAGCCCTACGAGACTTGCTGTACAGTTGAGACTCATATTCTGGATTTTACAGGTATAAAGACAGACCTTATTACAAAAATGAACACTTGATCTGTTTCCATGGAGGAGGCAGAGCTTAAAACTTCTACTGCAGCCAGTCAGCACGGGGAGCTCCATGTTTTGGCTTTACTTTGGAGGAGCTCTTTTGTTGTTTGTCTTTTTTTTTTTCAAATTGAATCACTTTTTTTTGGAAAGCCTGTAAATTTAGTCACAACGTAAGTTCATCCGTTTTTCAACTAATGATGACTGGATATCAAAATATTTCTTAAGATTTACTTATATGTGCTTATTATGCTTTACAAAAAATCTGTTCTTATTTTAATAAATGTGCTCTGTAAATCTCCAATTATCTATTATTTTGTTATCTCTTCTGTACAGGTCACTGTGACCCCAGCCCCCTCATCTGATTTCACACTCTTTCCAAACCCTGAAGATGAGTTCAGAACATGTCTGTGTGGTAATGAGCGCAAAAGCTTCAGATGGACCCTGACCCCTTCAGTCATAGGTTAGAACACAGCCTTCATCCACACTGATGCATACGATTTTAGTGAAGACATCATTGATTTGATTCTTTGGAATTTACAGGATATTTAAAAAATGTGTTTGTTTATCTTGTTTTCAGGAGATGTGATTGTTTCTGCGACTGCTGAGGCTGTGGTGTCCGATATCACATGCAACAATGAGGTAGTGAGTGTGCCAGAGAGAGGTCGTTCTGACACGGTCTCAAGAACTCTTAAAGTAAAGGTTGGTATCTTAAAAGTAAGATGACAAAGTCAAAGGTTGTCCCTTAAGGTTGATTTTGTGTGTGTGTGTGTGTGTGTGTGTGTGTGTGTGTGTGTGTGTGTGATAGAAGGAGGCAGTGGTGCCGGCAGGATTACATTTCATATTATGCACAAGAACCAATCCGGTGTATGAAACTTTTATCTTCTAGTTCCCCACGTGTACGTTCACAGAGATCACTGAGCGTGCATGAGAGAGTAGACAAACGCACTAACACTACCTACACAACAACAAAACTCTGATTAACCACAAAGTTGCCAGACAACTAACCTTTAAACAAACACAAGCTCAATATTGGGAGCACTGTAGTATAATATACCATTATACGTATTGGAGAGGAACGCAAAGTAAAAGTCAGTATTGAGTTTCATCCATAATAAAGCTGATGTCACCTGGAGAAGCTGAGGTAACACATACCATATGTTTGCTGATGTGTGTAGAAAATATCTGAGTCGTCTGGGCTTGGGAACAAGTCACTGATGTGGATATCTGCCCTCTTAGATTGCTCCTAGACTTCATCATGGACGAGCTGACACACTCAATAAACTGAAATCAACATATTTGACTTCACAGTTCAGACAGAAAAGTTGGCTGTAATAACCCTTGATCATTAATGTTTACTATAGTTACGTTACACCAATCATATGACTTCAAAAATATTTGCGTCATGACGTTGGTGAGTGGAAGCTGCCAAAGACAGCAATTCAAGAACAGACAAGAGGAACATTTTTTAAAAAGGATTAATCATGGGATGTCACAGGATGAAAAATGATACCTGCAAATCACACAAACGATAAGGTGCTGTTTCCTTCCCCATCAGGCTGAGGGAATCGAGAAGATAAAGTCGTCCAACTTGCTGCTGTGTCCAAACGGTAACTTTGCTGTGTTTTTCTACTCGCGTGTAGTTTAATGGTCCCAAAAAAATGTACAGTGTCTCATATTCTAAATTCATCACTGAGATACCTACTGTAGTTGTTGCTCCCTGAACACCAAATTGTGTCACATTGATCTCCTTTTCACTCTGTTTTATTTTTTCATTCTTGATCCACTGACCATTCACATACATGTTAATGACACTTTAATTTGAGTTTCTCTTCATAAGACGCTCGTTTCTCTGTCTGTTTACAGATGAGACTTTGACGGAGGAAGTAGAGATACAGCTCCCCGAGGATGAGATTGATGGATCTGGACGTTCTCTTGTATCAGTCCTGGGTAAACTAATACAATCATACACATTGACTGGAAAGACTTTCCTCCTTTATCAAGGGAAAACATTAATGTCAGGATATCCAGAAAACATTCAAAAACTGATTAATTATCACAGGAAAACAGAGTAAAATAACTGAATACACAATACCAGTTTGTGGGCTGGACATATTTGTATTTCATTCATATATTTCAATGAAAAGTTTAATGATTTGTTCCAGTTATTCTTACTCGGTATGTTAATTAACTTTATGCACCACAAGGCACAGCTCTTTACATTTTAATAATACATATCTAGGCATATAATTATTTAATTTATCAACAAAGCAAAAAAAATATATTTACAAAAAGCAAAGCAAAACTGCTTCTCTTGACATAAAACATGGTAGCCTAAACAAAATTGAGAGTATTATTGCCATAGAAGCAGAATCTAGAATGTATGTCATTCTTCATGCAGCATTGGCCACAGGAACAAATAATTCTCTTGATCGTGCTTAAAACTAATTCCATTTGTTCTCAAACATCTGCTGTTGAGCCTACAAGTTGTTATTTCTAAAGGAAGGTTTTATAACAGCCGTCTTATCCATATTTTTATGTTTCTCAGAATAAATTCTGAAAAGAAGCTGAGGGTCATGGATGATTGATTTTGAAGTGATCTTTTCTTTGTAACTTTGACCTCTTCCCAAAACATTTAAATATGCTAAAAGCAAATAAATAATGTTCCATTGAGTCTCCTATAAGATACCGCCATAGAATAGGCAGAATACAAATTTTCCATCTTGAGATTAAAGGTCAGTTTGGTTGCATGTGCACTCATAGTGAGTCTGTTTTGCTGTCAGGTGACATCATGGGCAGAGCCCTGAAGAACCTGGACGGTCTGCTGCGGATGCCATATGGTTGCGCTGAGCAGAACATGGCGGTTCTGGCCCCCAACATCTACATCCTCCAATACCTGGAAGACACAAAACAGTTGACCCCAGACATCGAGGCAAAGGGTACCAACTTTCTGACCAGCGGTGAGTCTCTGTTAGTTCAACGTTTCTGCTAAAACAGAACATTTATACGTTTAGATATGCCAACAGAAGAAGTGTTGCTCATACTGTTACTTCCCTATTGATCATTATTCTAATGTTATACAGGTTACCAGAGACAGCTAAACTACAAAAATAACGACGGCGCTTTCAGCACATTTGGATCAGGAGGATCAGGAAACACCTGGTGAGAATATTACTGATCCACACGCAAAATGTAATCCTTATTGTAGGTTTCCACTAAATGAAGCCTTAGTTTGTCGCTCTAAACATTCCCTTGTTCATATTTCACTCCAAATATTGGCAGAGAAGATTTGACAAGTATTTCATGGGCAGAACCCACATACTCAGCTTTGCTGCTTATCCCACAAATGCATGTTCCTTACAAATGTAGCACCATTTAAAAGGGAAATAAACTGGCGTTCCAACGGTATACGATTTATTGCCAAGAAGCGTTGTTTCAACAAAGAAATAACCTACCAAACACAAATTTCCTTACTTTTTATGCAATGTTGTCACTTTCAATGAGTCTCTACCATTGCAAAATGAAAACAAAGACCATTGAAGTCTGCTCACTGTACCCTGTTTAGCCAGGTAGCAGTGATAACAGTTATAAAAAATCTTCTTGAAAATCCTGATAGCGTCGTCTGGCTGCTCTAACCTCTCTAACATGCACACTGTTAATTATTTGCACCGTGAACCAGCCATTGCATCCTATTATAACTCAAAAGCTCTTAACAGTAATATTACTTTTGTGTTATGTGAATGTTTGTATTATTAAGTACTTCTTATTAATGTAAGAACTAGCCTAGAGACTTACCTTATAATTAAGTGTTATATTTGATATATTAGTGCCCTTTGTGAAAAATGAAAACTCGGATCGAGTGCTTCCAGTTGTTTCAAATATCTAACTTTTTTTTTTACTCTGCAGGCTGACCGCCTTCACGATGAGATCTTTTGTCAAGGCTCAGAATTTCATCTTTATCGATCCGAAAGTTATCAACGATGCTATGATCTGGCTAACAAACAGTCAAAAGGGCAGTGGCAATTTTAAATTGATGGGAAAATTCTTCAACAACCACATAAAGGTAATCAGAAACAAGTGACAAAAGAAGGATAAACTGGGCTCTGATTACGAGAGTTTTAAAATTCCTACCATTTTGTTATGAACTGCACATGTGACAAAACTCATGAGATATTCTCCCGTCTTTAGACAAGATTTTAAAATCTATTCTTCATTGAATTATGTGTGCTAAGAGAGTCAAAAATAGCCCTTTTTTTACCAGATTCTTGGCTTAAGAATCCTGAATTTCTAACACGGTTGCCATGGCGATGGTTTTGACAAGTAGGATAACTTGGAGGGTTGAGGATTAGAAGATGATTTTACCACCTGTTTGGTGTCAGCAGTGTGTTCTCTGTGACTGCTTTGGTTTTCCATGAGTGGAGATCATTTCACAAAAAGACGTCACTGTTATTTGACACTAGCTGTAGATCAAGGCTGTAGGCTTTAGTCATAACCTTATCATAATATTTTGTCATATATGACAAACATTTTAGTTTCTGTTTGTGGATTGATGTCAGTTTACCAATGTTATTTCAGCCCTTAGTCTGTCCAGAGCCGATTAGACATGAGAGGAAAGACTGGAACCAAATTATGACACAATTTAAAATAGAAACTAGCTTAGAGTTTAGTGTGGACTTTACAATTCTACAATTCACTTAGCAGACTCTTTTATTCAAAGTGACGTACATCAGAGAGTAAGTACAAAACAAGCAAGGATCTAGAGAAAAAGGGAACAATGTCAGTAAGTGAAAATGATCAGCTTTGAGTCCGATTGGACACACAGGTGCTGACAGGCAATACGCAGAGTAAAAGCACAACATTGACAGCAGTTCTTGAGAGCTCTAATCAGTATAGAAACCATCTTATAAGTCGTCAGTATCAAACAAAAACCATTGTCATTACCATCATCATCATCAATAATATGGAGACCATCATCATTAAGTTAGTAGGTATTCATGAAAGAGCTGGGTCTTTAGCTTTTTCTTAAAGGTGCAGAGGGACTTTACACCACAACTCATAATTTATGTTACTCTTGATGAGCCCTAAAAGAAACCTGCCAACCTTGACCAACCACTGGAAATCTGCTGACTGAAAATAATTTTATGAATTGATCCTCTGGAAGTTGTAGTGATGATAATGTCTGTATGATGCTTCCTCTCTGCAGGGCGGTGTGTCTGATGAAGTGATAATCACTGCTTACATCACGGCTGCCTTCTTGGAGATGAACCCGACTGTGACTGTGAGTACCCTCCTCTCAGTGAGTTTGTGTGGTTTCACTGTAAACCGTTTGATTATGTTATTAAATGATTCATCCGGTTATCCCATCCACTGTTTGTAAAGATGGACGATGTTGTTGTGAAAATGATCTAAAATCAGTCCTATGATTTACTTCTTTTATTAATTATATTGTTTTCTCTCAATCTGTTACAGGAAACTGTCACTAAGAGCCTCTCGTGCCTGAAAAAGACGATCGATAACGTCGCAAACACCTACGCTACAGCTCTGCAGGCGTATGTCTTCACTCTGGCGGGAGACATGGAAACCAGTAACAAACTTTTGAGTCACCTTGACAGTGTAGCGATAAAAGAAGGTGTGTCACCCTGAAATAAGTTATTCTAACCAATCAAAATTTCCATATGGATTCCCTTTGTGAGCTGGTTTCAGCCGTTACTTCCTGCACTATCCTACGCCCGGGGCAGAGCGTCTTGGAGCCTAGTGCAGAGCCTGATGCCACTGTCATTTTCTTGCCCAGCGCTCATGTTGTCTGAATAGCAAATGAGCTTGCACCTGTGTTAGCTCCCAGGCTTGTGTTAGTCTTAAAATCATGTGTGGTCAGGCGCACATGTGACCCGTTCTTATCTTGAGGATTTAGAAAACTGCCGCATCTGAGAACAAATAAAACCTGGTCTAAAGTTTAGTCTGTGGTGCAGTAAGTCCCTGGTATTTAGAGGATGCTTGATGAAGATGGACATCAGTGAGTTCAAAACAGACTTCCACTCTGCCCATAAGACAAACATGGAAGCACAGAAACGCTCCCAATGCTCAGTTAAATATATTCTTTTGCATTTACTGATACATTTAAGTTTTTAAGGGAACAGAGGGCTGAAAGAAGCGCTTGCCCTAATGCATGTTCCGTCTCAGAGAGTTGGATTTATAAAAAAATCTTGTGCATACCTGTGAATGCTACAACAATCAAGCCCATAGATATGAAAACAGACTGTCCATTGTCCATTATGCACACTTAGACAATGTAGCCAAAAATTCCACATTTTAAATGATTGAATAGATCTTTATTGTCATTGCAATCAAAACAAAAGGCAATTTAGCTGCACATGTAAAACACAGAAATATTAATTAAACAACATAAAACACACACAGTCAACATTAAAAGCATAACATAAGAGCAATAGTTAAAGGCATGTTGTCGAATAAACAATATAAAAAATAGATAGTTCAAAAGTAGCCATGTCAATAAACATTAAAACATTAAAGCTGCCGAAACATGAAGAGTGCTAGACCACTGGACAACGAGCTGCTCTACCATCTACCTTGCTACCAAGTTCAGACGTTATTTGAATTGTTTTATATGTCTTTTTGATGTTTTAAACACTGGCTGAAACATAAATATTGTGTATAAATTCTGCATTCGCTGCTGTAACGATTTCTTTTAATAATTTGATCAGAGAAGGCCACTCTGCAAGTCCCTGGTGGGTTTTTAATGCAATCCTCCCCCTCATGCTCATGGGATCATATTATTTTTCTATGTCTAAAAACTACAAAAATGAAATCCTGCTTTGTTTCTGAATGTCCCTCACCTTTGTGTGTTTGTGTCTGTGTGCAGGAGGTTTCACCCACTGGGCTCAGACAGCGACAAACAGATATTTGTCTGTATCTGTGGAGATGACCTCCTACGTGCTGCTCGCCCTACTGTCGCCATACTCGCTTCCTGCTGCCCCTCCTTCCCCCGAAGCACTGGGCTACGCCAGCGGCATCGTCAGATGGCTGACCAGGCAGCAAAAGTATTATGGAGGCTTCTCCTCCACGCAGGTAACCCTCAAATAGTTTAGAGCTGGGAAATCTTATTTGCCCAGGTAGACGTTCTTTGGACAGCCCACCCAGTTTCTGAACACACACCAAATTATGCTCTCCAATTTTTGCATTTTGTATTTGAACCTTTTGTCTAATTGGCTGAGTAAAGGAATGCTTTTCACGACCAAATAATTAGATGTATAAGTGGATGGTCTCTACGGGGTAGGGTCTGCTCACATGCTCTGAGGCTAGTCACAGCTGTAGGTGAGTCTGAAACTGCTGAAACTGAAGATCGGTATTAGGGCTGGGAAATATATTGAGTTTTTAAGATATATGGATATATTTTCAAACAAGATATAGGGTAAGACAACATCGTTAATATGGATATAGTTTATGTTGCATTAAAATAACGTTACAGAGGTGTCAGGTCACCTTTTTCTCATCTCACTGATGATGACTGACTGTCTGTCCCTCCTGTCTCTCTCTTTTATTGTATTTAAGGAACATTTTTATTTTATAATATTACTATTTAAATTCACAAACAGGCAGTTTATTTTCCATGTGTTTTCACTGTTAATAAAATACATATCGATATATATCGAGCATCCCCATTCAGCTAAACAATATCAAGATATGAGTTTTGGTCCATATCACCCAGCCCTAATCGGTATATAAAACTTGCTATGTCTGTAAAACCTGGCCAACAGTAAAAGATATTTAAAACCTAAGAGATGTTTCAAATGTGAGAGAGCCCCCACATGATGACTGATGGTAATAGATTAAACGATGTGACCAAACCACCAGAGTGCATGCTAGGCTGTCCTCTGGGTTACCCACACAAAACAGGAGATCGTAAATATGGAACATGTCCAAATCGATGGGGCCCCCATGTCCTTTTGAGCAGATCAGATTAGCCTTAACATGCCTCACACCACAGGAACATCTGACCAGATAATCTTAAGAACAATTGAAAGATAAAGACATTGCCTAGGATCGTTTGAAGGGGGAATCGGGCCCAAAATCAGTTCTTCTTGTAGTATGTTCTCCGCTTTATAAAACAAGATGTCTTCACCTGTTTTAAGTCCTCAATGAGGATTTTTTAAATCTCATTTTTAAACTGACTGAAATGACTGTAACACTGATGCCTCTAAACAACCCCACAAAAGCAAACAAGACCAAATTGAGGCGGTTGATTATTTCTATATATTAATCTGTGCTGGTGCAGGGCAGCTGTCACACATACTAATTCACTTCAATTTGTCAAAGTAGCTTTCTTTTTTCTACTTTTTTTGTGACATGTTTAACCGTCTAACAAAAGCAGGAGGAGATGTTTTGTCAATACTTCTTACACACGTGCAGGACATAATCAACAGTGATATGATGAGCAGCTTTGTCTGCAGGAGACATTATTATTATTAACACTAAACTAAAGTTCCTCTCAGGAGTTTCAAAGTAATAATTATTTGTAATTTATGTCTTTCACAGGACACAGTGGTGGCCCTTCAGGCTCTCGCTCTCTACTCCACCCTGGTGTTCAATCCTGAAGGTTCGAGCACAGTGATTGTCAAGTTTTCTGATGAGGAGATTGATTTTGAAGTGGACCAGGACAACAAGCTGGTCTACCAGGAGCAGCTGGTGATGGACCAGACAGGAAAGTACACAGTGGAGGTGGAGGGCAATGCATGTGTCTCAGTGCAGGTCAGTCATAACTGAAGCTCCTCCTGTTTCTCTTTTTTCCCCCTACACTTTCACATTTGTTCATATTTAATTGAATGAAATGACAAAGACAAAAAAGGAACAGGAACATTGGTTGGTGAGGGCCTCATGTAGAAACAGAGAAGGGGATGTTAATCACACAGGTGAATGGTTACGTCCCATAGAGCTTATAGTGTTTTGATCTTCAATATTGACAGGAAATAAAGAGATGCTGATTTTTGTATGGTTGAGGAACTATAGTGGTAAGAAGTCAGTTTAACATAATAACACATGTCACAATACTGGAGCATTGAAAGCATTATGAAAACATTTGACACTGCCATATTTACAATTTACTTAAAAATAGCTGTTTGTTTGATTTTTATGAAAATAATTAACTTCCTTGTGGGACTTTTCCTAGATTTCTTATCACTACAACGTCCCGCCTACTCCCATAGCAACAACACTTGACGTGGAGGTCAGTACGAAGGCTGAGTGCAGCAGCTCATCTACCAGACCTACGATGACTCTGACTTTGAAGATTGTGTAAGTAGTCATTGACAGCTTGTTGCAGATATTGCAGCAGTGACAGAACACTACTGTCATTCTGAACAAATATTTGTATCCCAGGTTTACCTTTAACTTATGCTGACATTGCACACAAAATCTTTCAACTGATTTCACATCGGCAGATTTATTTTTAAAGAAATTGCGGTAAAAGTTGAAATGTTCTGAAGGCTTTTTTTTTCCCAATGACATCACAGGAGCAAGGGATAAATGTGAGGAGTAATGACAAACTTCATGTATTAACTGTGTACGTCCTAATCTCTGATCACTGGAAATTCTGCAAGTAACAGTTACCACCAAGTCTCAACAGATTATCATATTTTCACTCTAACTGCCCTGGCTGTTTGTGAATTTAGCAATGAGGGTGATTTGCATACAAAGGGACCAGTTTTCCCCCAAACGACTGCATTAAGGCTGATTTTAAAATGTGCAAAAGCACTGACGCACAAAAATACAATTTGCTCTGCAACACAGTTAACCCATTGCACATGCATTGTCATTTAAACTGTGTTGTTTTGTCTAATTTGCACAGGTAAAGGCACAAAAGCTGGACATTTATTTTGTGAATCAGAACCATAGATTTGCAGAACTTTATGTCATGCAAGTTAAATGTCTTTAGATGTGAGAGGGTGTCTGGATTGTAACGTCCATGTAGGGAATAGTACGCCAGTGTACAGAAGCTGCTGATGGATGTACAATAGGAAATGATCACAACTGAATAGTAGCTTCTCAGCTCAAACATATCTTAACTATAAGAACCCTCTCCAAGAACCTCAGATTGTATGTGTGCCTGCAAACAAAAAGGCTTCGGTCACACTGAGTAAAATCTACTTTTTCTTGTTGTGTTACAGATATACGGGAAAACGAGAAACTACAAACATGGTGATCGTGGATATCAAAATGCTCTCTGGATTTGTCCCAGACGAAAAGTCTTTGAAGGAGGTGAGATAATACCTTAAAGGAAACATATTAATCTCCATTTCAACCAGTTTAAATGAGTCTCAGAAGTCCCCAAAACATGTAATTTTCTTACCGAAAATCCACTGTGATTTAGCATGCCAAACTCCTACATTTCAGCCCTGCCCAGAACAGGCTGTTTCTGTGTCTGTAGCTTTAAATGCAAATGAGCTGTGTCAGACCACGCCCCTCTCTGTTGGTGCTCTCACTGTTTGTCTATGGACACAGACATAGAATCTGTTTTCTGCCAGGAATTTCGAAGATGCCAATTCCTTCTGGAAGAAATCTCATAAACAGCTGAGGAAACGGCCGTATGTGTTGAAGTAAATGTCTGTAGAGGACCTTGGTGGGAGTGACCTGCGGTGCTGTGCATTCTGGGAGTTGGTGTCTTTCATCCACATGAGCCAAAAAGACACTTTCTGTCTTTTCTCGGTCAAGAAGGCACCAACTTCAAAATGTATTTCACATTTCTGCTACATATAGAAATGTCAACACAGATTCATGTTTCAACGGGCGAAGTATCCCTTTAAGATGACCATGACACTACAGCAATACAGAATAAACATCTAACATTAAGATCATCTTCATCTTAAAAATGCTTTGTTGTTCGAACTACATGCGTTTTGTTCCCGCTGAGCAGTCTGAATCTGCTCTCTGCTAGGATCAGAATCATGAATGATTTTTAAAAAAATCAAAGTTCAACGTCCTACTCAACAGTTTTGAATGACACACGCTCCAAGATAACTAAAATGGTATTACCTGATCTAATCTAATTTTGTAATCTTGTTTTCTTTTCTTGTCTTTCTAGTCTTTCTTTTCTTTGATCCTATCCAGTCATACTGCTTTTTATTGATGTTTTTCACTTACAGCTTAAAGGTGAAGCACAAGTGGAGCGTATTGAACACGAGGATGACCAAGTTGTGGTGTACATAAAAGAGGTGAGAGACATCGCAGTGACCGAGAAAAATTAATGCTCGGCAGATTTTGTTTTCTGATTGCCTCGTCTGTTTTACTTCCAACAGTTATCAAAGGACATCCCCATCCAATATGACCTGGAGCTCATACAGGAGCTTCCAGTGTCGGACCTGAAGCCAGCTGTGGTCAAAATCTATGACTACTACCAGCAAAGTAAACCAGATACTTTCTCTGCACTAGACATCATTTACAGAGACCACTACTCACTTTAACAAACCCTGCTCCCTTTAGAGATGTACACCACCTGAAAAGTGAAAATACTTTTCAGACAAAACACAGATTTTACCCTTTTTTTCTCTCTCAGGTGATCAAGATGAGGCCAATTACAACTACCCTTGTGTTGCAGGTAACTATCTTTAATACCATTGGGCCTCATTCACCAATATCTTCTTCTGATTTTTCTTAAATCTGCTCTTAAGAAAGTTCAGAAGAAAAAGCTACGTCAGATTCATGACGTGTTTTTAAAAAAGTAGAATTGTTCTCTCCGGTGATCTTAAATTGATGAATGCAAACAAAATCAATCAAACAAAAGAAAGAAACCAGTCTGTGGTCAACATCTATGACTACTACCAGCAAAGTAAACCAGATACTTTCTCTGCACTAGACATCATTTACAGAGACCACTACTCACTTTAACAAACCCTGCTCCCTTTAGAGATGTACGTCACCTGAAAAGTGAAAATACTTTTCAGACAAAACACAAATTTTACCCTTTTTTTAAATCTCTCCTTTTTTTTCTCTCACAGGTGCTCAAGATGAGGCCAATTACAAGTACCCTTTTGTTGAAGGTAACTATCTTTAATACCATTGGGCCTCATTCACCAATATCTTCTTCAGATTTTTCTTAAATCTGCTCTTAAGAAAGTTTAGAAGAAAAAGCTACGTCAGATTCATGACGTGTTTCATGACAGATTCATGACATTAGAATTGTTCTCTCCGGTGATCTTAAATTGATGAATGCAAACAAAATCAATCAAACAAAAGAAAGAAACCAGTCTGTGGTCAACATCTATGACTACTACCAGCAAAGTAAACCAGATACTTTCTCTGCACTAGACATCATTTACAGAGACCACTACTCACTTTAACAAACCCTGCTCCCTTTAGAGATGTACACCACCTGAAAAGTGAAAATACTTTTCAGACAAAACACAAATTTTACCCTTCTTTTAAATCTCTCCTTTTTTTTCTCTCACAGGTGCTCAAGATGAGGCCAATTACAAGTACCCTTGTGTTGAAGGTAACTATCTTTAATACCATTGGGCCTCATTCACCAATATCTTCTTCAGATTTTTCTTAAATCTGCTCTTTAGAAAGTTTAGAAGAAAAAGATACGTCAGATTCATGACGTGTTTCATGACAGATTCATGACATTAGAATTGTTCTCTCCGGTGATCTTAAATTGATGAATGCAAACAAAATCAATCAAACAAAAGAAAGAAACCAGTCTGTGCCTTTGCTGTTAATAATTATGTTTATTTTCTATTGTTTTTTGTTTTTTTTGCAGGAAAGGTTTGAAGTCTGGTCGACCCTCAGCTCCTCACTGATTTCAGTTTGATCCAAAAAAAAAAGAAATGCATTTTTTCAAAGTAACTAAACAGTCAACATCTGTGTAACCAGTGTACGTGTGAAACATGGAACTCGTGCCACATTCAATAAAACGCATTCAACTTCAAACAACTCTGGTGTCCATTGACCTCTGAATGTTTTGCCTGCTGTTTCAACAGATCAGTTACTGTACGTGTGGAAAGTGGAGACATGCTCAGAAAAGTGTCTTTGTGGCGTTAATTGGAGTGAAATAAAGTTTATAAAAGAACATACCTAGATCATCTGATTAGAAGATTATAGGAAACACTACTTTATGAGAACTAATACAACAAATATGATGAGTCATCATAACCTATCTCAAAATAGTAGTTTCAAAGAGGATTAAATAGTTCATGACTTTCAATAGGGAGAATGGTTTCCCTCCCATGTCCACAGAGTGCCACCCCATACCTGGTTACCTGTTACTATGGAACATAGCAGCGGGCCGAGGTCATCTCTGTACGGCCTTCTGTGTTCTGTCAAGATGTGCTGCTTTGTCCAAAAATGCCAAACGACAGGTAGTCTTATCCCCTATGAAATAATGCTACCAGAACAAAATAACTATGTTAATTCACGACTCACTCCATATGCATTATCTGAGTAGGGAGCTAGCATTGTGTGACAGGTCAGTTGCACTAAATTGAAAAACAATACTGATGTAATGGTAATCGGGCTGGACAGTGATTGTATCAACGGAAGAACCAACGTCCTGGTGCTACCCCCGCTGTCCACCACTCAACTCTAAGATGTTTGTTTTATCTCCAGGTTGCTCTGCCACCGCTCAAAAGTCACTCATTCAGTGAGGTAAAAAAACCCTTTTTGTAGCAATGCAGGATTAATGCAAGGGATAAAGGTCGTGTTAAGTTTATTGATTGATCCAAATCTAACCATTTGAAGAGTCAAAAGATGACTGATCAGTGAGTCAGGTATTTAAAGTCCAGATTTGGTTAATCATGCATCCAAGCTCAATGCAAATTAAGATAATTTGTATTTTTGTTCATTCTTTAGGCTCAAATTTCCATGTCCAGGTGAATATGGAAAATGCAGCACTTTCATTCAAAATATTTCCAAAGCGACGTACATCAGAGAGTAAGCACAACACAAGCAAGGATCTAGAAAGAGGGAACAATGAGGGAACAATGTCAGTAAGAGCAAACAATCAGCTTTGAGTCTGATTGGACACACAGGTGCTGACAGGCAAAGCACAACATTGAGTTCTTAAGAGCTCTAATCAGTATAGAAACCATCTTAAAAGTTGCCGTTATCTGGCCTGGAATACCTGGCCTCAAGTGAAGCCAAAAGATTTAGTGCTCCCTCCACTGACTGGCTGCAGTGCAGGCCATAAGCTTCCTCTATGTTAACAGAGATGACATGGTTCAAAGTATAAACTGCATGTCAGGTGATTTTTTTTTAACCCGTTTTAAGTTCAAGATATATGTATTATGGTGTTAAATGTCATAATTCCGTCTGTGCTGCACACTCGCCCTCTCTAGTCCATTCTCATGTATTTACTGCAAACTCTGCTCGGCATCGTTCCACTCCACAATACACGCAATCTATTTTCAATGGAGCCCACCTCAAGCATGTGTCCAACTGAACAGAGCAGACAGGAAGTCAAAGTAGACAAAGAAGACAAGAGAACAGATAAAGCATGATGTCAATTCCAAATTAAAATAAAATGTACAGGCTCCTGATTGCATATCCCATCACTTTATCAACATTACATCAAAACAGGCACCCATTGAACAGCAATTCAATCTAGCAGCAATTGTATCTATTTTTTTTTTTTTTTTTTTGTCTTTGTTTGTTTGTTCTTGCTTTAGTTGTCATGTCTATATATTCTTGTTTCATTTTGTTCTCCTTTTCAAAAAAAAGAAGAAAGAAAAAAAAGAACAAAAAGATCAGCAATTCAACCTCTGAAAGACAAAGTCACATTACTCTTTATTTCAGTGTGATCTTGTAGTTCTGCTGTCATTTTGTGATCCCTCAAGTACAGCTGCATGGCTGTTCACCGCTGTGCTTACAGATCCACGTCATAAAAATCATTCAAACCTGCAGAGGTATAGTGAGCCATATTCCTTAAGGGTATTTTAATTAAAACAATATCAAAAGATTTCTACAGAAATTCAGCCAAATGTTACACCTTCACTTACTTTTTGTTTGTGACTCTGCTGTGGAAAACAAACTATATGTGCTTTCTCTCCTCTGCGTCATCCAAAACCACCTTTTTTTTCCCCTTTTTCTCCCATTTGTTGCTGTTTTTCATGGCTAGAAACATCCCTTCGATCATTTGTTTGCATTTCCCTCCATGAGGAGCTTTGTACTGTCCTTTTAAGGTTGTATGTGGGTGTGTTGAGGGCAGAATATGGAGCTGAACCATGTGTGTACATTTCAGCAGGGATTGGGATCTATAGGGAACATTGCTTTGAGATGTGTGTAGACATGGGCTGCACATGGACTGTGAGCACACTCACATCACACACTTTTTAATGGACAATTTCCTAACATTATTTATGTTTTTATGTCACTCCTGAAATGTGATTTTCAAATGCAGATTATGCTGTTTTTATGCTTGTCTTTTGAGTGTGATGGAAAAAAAAAAAAAAAAAAAGCCAAAGCCAACACAAAGGGATTTATTACAATATGACACACTAAATGATAAAGATCAAATGAGAAACAAAAGACAATCCCTGACAAGCAAGGCCCAGCAGTCCCAACTCAAAATGACTCCTCAAAATGCTTCTCTTTCTGCAGCCAGCACTGGCCTTTTAAGCTCTGAGGCCAGGTGCGCCTTGTTGTGCAATTAGTGGCTTCACCTGGGGCTGGAGAACAGAAAGGGAGAAGGGACAAACAGTACAGGGACACATACAGCTGTAACACCCCCACCCTTAAAACAATGAATAAATAATTTGTTATAAAAACACCATCGATTTTAAACTAATATGGCAAGTCACTATAAAACATAATATTTATTCATGGTGCTAAAGTGCATTGTGCAAACAAATTTACACATTAACTTTACAAAATGGGTGTTACCTACCGAGGCTATATATCTAAATTGCAAACACTACATTCACAGAACAATAATATGGGTCAATAATGGAACATATATCCAACACAAACAAAAGGGCCATCAAAGATGCTTCAACAGAGTTTAAATTTGAGCATCAACTACAATGGTAGCCAATCAGTGGGTGCCACTCCCACAATCAAAAATGGCGACCACCATGAGGTGAAAACAAAGGACAGTACTGCACTAACCTACATTTAACATTGTAACACAGGTGCCCAACATACAAAAGTGAAGTGCAACAGTCACAGGATCAACACAATTAGACCCACAACAATAATTGCTGCCATTCAAAACAGCCACAGAAAGATTCACATAAAGTGAACTGCCACTACCACAACACAAGATGGACACCATGTGGTCCACAACCACGTGCACACACAAGGTACTCTGGTAAAATGTAGGCAAGGAGTCACACAAACAATTCAACAATCCAGGAGGCCACACCCACCACTCTAAGATCCACTGATCTGTGGAGTGACATCTTCCTATTAAGGAGGAGCTGTTTTTGTCGCAGTTTTGTAAACGAGCAGCAGAGTTTTAAATTTGATGCGAGCAGTAACTGGGAGCCAGTGTAAGGAGATGAACAGCGGAGTGACATGTGCTCTTTCAGTGTGGGATGATGACAGTGTACTTGCTTTACAAGGCTGCTTTGAATGTACCGACTGGGAAGTGTTTGAATGCACAGATATAAATGAACATACCGATGTAGTAACATCTTACATTAATTTCTGTATAGATAATGTGATCCCTACCAAACAAACAAAAACATATGCAAACACTAAACCCCTGAGATAAAAAAGCTTTTAATTGAAAAAGAACAAGCTTTTAGAATAATACAAAGAGACATACAAATGAAAATTAATGAAGCAAAAAGGGACTACAAAGCTAAATTTGAGCAACTACTTACAGACAATAAAGGAAGGGAGGCTTGGCGTGGAATTAAAACAATGATTGGCTTGAACTCCCCAACAGAATAATGCTTCATATACAACTTCTTCGCACGATATGAGACTGATAGTCAATCCCCACTGGAGCCTGAGGCAGACTGGAGAAAATATGGCACTTCTATTCAAATAACAACTGAGGAAGTGCAGTTTGCCTTTTCCAAGATTAATGTGAGGAAATCAATCGGCCCAGATGGGTTAGACCAGGGATGTCAAAGTTCTTTTGGGTCGGGGGCCGGATTTGTTCAAATGAGACCTCAAGTGGGCCGGACTAATTTTGCAGACATCACTATAACTCAACTCATGGATATATAGGCTAATATATGATTAGAAAAAAAGACAAAAAAAGGTTCTTGTCTAGAAAACTGCATGTTAACACATAAAATGTAAAAGTTCATTAAGCAGAGGGGTTAACTCTGTCATTGCAAACTGCATGTTGGCACATGGAAATATTTAAATGTACCACATTACAGAAGAAAACATCAATAACTATGTTTTGTTTGAGATTATTATATTATGTTTTAATATTGCTGTTCAAGGCTATAGAAACTTTGACAGGTTATTCTACCTGCTCTGGGATCATTGCATTACTAGAGAGAGAGAGAGAGAGAGAGAGAGAGAGAGAGAGAGATCTGTGTGTGTCAGGCCACAGCACAGTTTGCACTCCTTAAGGTTCATTTCAGATAAAACCTGCTCACATGAATAAGTTGTCACAAACACACAGAGTGCCTTTGATGAGACCGAAGTCATCTTCAGGTATTTTAGTATTAGGCATTATAAAATGATAACATGTTTCCAAACGAACAGACTTGAATTTATCCTTCAGCGTTGTGCTCCGTGTGGAGTGTACGTTTTTCAACTAAGTAAACTCAGTTAAATGACTTCTGATATGAGTCTGGCAGTCCGTTCTCTTACGTGTCCACAATATCGTGATCTAACTCTGTGAGAAAGCCTGACTAGAGTTAACGAGCCTGCTCAGACACGTGGCGAGCTCAGACCGTATAAAGCACGTGGCTTACATGCTGCAGAGCAGAGTGTAGGAGGAGCAGAGCAGCTGCAGGAGCAGCCTG